TACCAATAAGTTGTGCTCATAGAAACTGAGGTTGGGGCGCGGCCAGGGATCAGTTTTGCACGAGACGTGTTTGAAGAACTTTGCAACGTTTATTTGGACGTTCCTGTTGCAGTTTTACCGCCCTGCTGCAAACTGCTCGAACCAAAATAGCCATAAACCAACTATTCTTGTAACACCATATATAGTCGGCTATGTCCATGCGTGCGGTAGGGTAGGGGGTTGAATCAACATATGATATAAGGTATGGGACCGGAACTCTATGGGTTGGTGACAACAAGTGTCAGCAGCTGATAATATTTGATAAGAGGCGTCAGAAGGGTAAGGTCAGTGCCTTCACACCGTAGGTCACAGCACCAGCTAGGTTGTGATTCCAACAAATGATATAGACGAAGAGACGGGGAAATCGACGGTGGGCAGACGGTGATAGGGATTGCTATTGTCGTTGTTGTTCAGTGTGGCTAAGCTTTTACACTACCAAGCTACTGGGATTCACTGATGTTGACATTGATGATGGAAGATAGGTGATCATATCAATTGATTGGAATACATAAAAATAATTTTCATTACATTTCTTGCCACTTCATTGCTAGGTATTAGAGGTCCAGTGTGTGAACTTTTTCCTAAAGCTTCACTGAGCTGTATTGTTGAGCTGTATGCTTTTAGATGTATGAAAGAACGTGGAACGGGGGTATATTGGGTGGGGGGTATATTGCGCACCTCTTCTTCTTCTTCTTCCTCAAGTTTGTCCCGCTCGATGGCGGGCGGGGTCCGCTCTTTTGATATAACTACGCCACTTTTCCCGATTGAATGCCTGATCGGGGTGAATGCCGGCTATTTTCAAGTCGGTATGCAGCGTGTCGAGCCAGCGCTGTTTAGGACGTCTCTTTGGCCGCTCCATATACCCAATTTGGAGACCAGTTTTACGAACGGTGTCAGCCTTTTTGGAAGTACGTGCCCGTACCATCGAAGGCGCGTTTCACGCAATTTCTCTGCTATGGGGGCTACACCATACTTCTTGCGCACGACATCATTACAAATGCGGTCCGGTCTCGTGACGCCAGCGCAACATCTTCATCTCCATCACATCAAGGCGAGTTCAGCTTCTTTGGTCGAGGGTGGGCCAGCACTCGGGACCATATAACGCGGCAGGTCGGACGACAGTACAATTGGTGGAGGTATATTGCGCGCCTGAAATGGGAAAATCAAGAAAATTAACAGTAAGTGATTTTCCCGACTCCTGCCGTCGTGTTTTTGCGACGGTGATGGCGATCATGTGTTTGGAGGTCTTGGTCGTACGCAAACCAGAACCGAAAAAAGGAGGGGAGCAAAAGGTCCAGAGTGAGGGACATCTTGGCGAAGCCAGGCTGGCCCTGCGAAGCAGAGCCGTAGGATAGAAGAGGAGCGCCCCGCGACAGCTGGGCGATCCGCCTGGTAACAATAATAATGATCGCGGTGGGCGGAGTTGTCTGTCTAGTTCTTAAGGTTATTTGGCTGACCTGATTTGAACTGCGTCGCAGTGCTATAGTATACCACTATGTATATGTGCAGAACAGAAAAAGAACACGGAAGAATCATGAAAATAAAAACAATCTCGCTAATAAAATTGGCGGGATTCTCTGGGCGTGGCTTGGTGTCAGGTGTTTAAAGATGTGATTGGACGGTAATTTCTACACTAGCTCACTTACTTTTTTCTTGGTGTTTTTTGTCAACCAGCAATAATCGTAGTAAAGATTTCTCACACGTGATACAAGATACAAGTATTAAATTATGAAAAATACGCAGGTGTCGCATAAGTACTCCATTTACCTGTTAGGAAATAGATGACGTATCCCTGATGTCACATAGCACGTTAATGACGTCATTGACAATTATTAATACAGATTTCTCCGTCACTGACGTGTTATATGATGGGTAATATCCTAACCGTCAACAGCTAACGGACCTTAGCTGAACCTGCGCACTTAAACTACGAAAAAAACTACTCTATATGAGGTAGCATTCAGATCACATCGGTCCATGGTCTCATAATTCTTCACGTTCCTTCTGGTCTGCTGACAATTTCAAGTCTGGGTACACATTTTCCAAATACCAGTCCATATCCTTGCAATTGAGCCGTTTCTTCAGTTCTAGACCAGCGCTTACGTCTCCGAAATCCATCTTTGCTGCCGATGGTCGTGCTCTCATGAAGTATTTCTCAAAATAAGGCAGTGTCATTCGCTCAAGTATCTCGTCTGTTTTCCACTAACCTCATACTTCCCAAGCCATGTCTTTGCTACACGAAGTGAATTGTAGACATCCGTGTTGTCTTTGCCCTTGTAAGGCCGCATCATTCGGAAAACGTGCCCAATATGACTGCATGGCGCCACCACCACACGACCACCGCACATCCACGTCTAAATGATGGATGTTGTATCGGGTGTGCCAAGAGATCCGAGTTGCGGCGGCGCCGCTAAAGTGGTACTGCCGGTGGCGTCTTGCGGGTTTTGTTTGCGCCAGGACCTCA